TATGGAAGGCTTTTGCTAAGAGGTTTTTATCATCTGTAAAACAAATAAAAAAAAACACATGGGAGAAATAAGACTCAGGATTATTAAATGAAAGTGACCAAGTTGCCTTTTCTGTTATTAATGTTTACTAAATGGAGCTAACTGAATTGTGCGTAAGCATTTTGCATTTATTTATTACTGGAGAAACTTGCAGAATTCAGAATTCATACGGAATGAACTGCTTAACCTGCTTCTGGTGAGCTACTGATACAACTGTTCTCAGCCTAACTCCAGGTGGTACACTAAAATCACGCTGGCTGATAGTGTCATTCTTGTTGCTTTAAGTAGCCAGTGCCTACTAAAGCAAGCTTAGTGGCTAAATAAAGCAAGCTTAGTGGAGCTTCAAGTAGAAGTGTCAGGCTCCGTATATGTTTTAAAATTACATGATCAACCTACTGGGTATCTGAATGATGCATAGAACTGACGGTTTCAGAATGCTACTACAGATGTTTAACCTGCATACAGCATTGTTCAACAAATTGCAGCCATCTCTTTTCCCTAGCAATTTCTGTGGGGGACATCATCAGTATCTTACTCTGAAGGGGTAAAGAATCATAGGAATTAAGGTACAAGGATGTATCCTGTCTGGCTTCTAACATGCTGTGAAATACTGTATTCTGAAAAGTTCTAATGTTACTACTACATTAATTATTGAACTGCACTGTTCTATTAACTTCTCAGGACTGTGGCATTGTTCTCTTGCTTCTGCTAGCTTATCTTTGCAAATACAAAAGGCTCACTTGATTTTTCTGTGCAGACAGGAAAACGACCCAAAGCAAACATACTGTTCAACACTTCACTCGGTGTCATATTTGGTGTTAAAAAGTATGCTGATGCGTTGACAGAAATAATAAAGGAGAGAAATATTACTGTTAACTATAAACGGAACCTTGTTGAAGTTCGAGCAGACAAGCAGGAAGCTGTGTTTGAAAACCTGGACAAACCTGGAGTGACTGAAGTTCATCAGGTGAGAAGCTTTCAGGCCTCTGGCTTGGTCCTTCTTCTTTGTATGTACTGTAATGTAACTGCCACAGTATAACAATGTAATCTGTTGCTCTATTGGTACTGCCATTTCCTCCTTGTAGTACCTTGTCGTTTAATTTCAGAAGATTCAAGTTTGAAACTAAGGTGGAAAGAAGCGGGGGCAGGGTGGATGACTTAATAAACCATGCCTGAAGTCCTGTATGCCTTGTTAGTATAATTTGGGAATGTCTCAGGCATATATATGGAGGAAAGAAAACTTCTGTTAGGCCAGTTTACATGGAGTTGCCTGATAAGGTTCATGTTAATAAAGAATTTGGAAAGGATGCACTTCAAATTTGTGATCAAAGTTACACTCTATATACCCGTGTTTAAAATAAAAAATAATTCTTCATACTGTTTTTAATTCCTTACATCAATACAAGTATGATTTGCTCTGATAAACTAGACATTTAGTGCCTTTTCTGTCTGTCTAGTATGAAATGCTTCATGTCACACCTCCAATGGGGCCACCTGATGTACTCATCAACAGCCCTGTCTCGGATGAAATCGGCTGGGTAGATGTAAATAAGGAAACTCTACAACATAAAAAGTATCCTAATGTTTTTGGTATTGGAGACTGCACCAACCTGCCAACATCAAAAACTGCTGCAGCTGTAGGTAAAGGCCTGTGCGTGTTTGTGTGTGCAGTGGGAAGTGTGGGAGTGACAGTAAGCTTTTAAATCAGACGGTTGTTTTGTTTGTTACTCTTTAGGCCTGAACTTCAATTTTCTTCTATCTTTCTAAAAGACTTAAGTCTCCTGGGCCAACTGATGAGCTGAAGACTGTACCGATGCCATTAACCCCCCAGTTCTCATTTTAGATGCCTGACAGCTTGACTAATCCTATTTTCTGTGGTCACAGAATGACATAAAATGAGCGTGCTACTCTTGCATTGTCATTTTTCAGTACCCAGACTTTCTACTCTATCTTAGCAGCTCATGCATATGTGTCAGCTGATAAGTCTACTGAGGAATCACGTGTTCGTTCTTGGAGTCACAGCGTCCAATATAAAAATGCTTTGTATGGTCTTGTAACTTTAAAAGAAAGAAAATCAAATCCAAGGGTCTATAGAGTAATGTGAAGAGTGGTATAGGCAACTCTTGCAGCAAACTTCAGTGTGCCAGAATCTTCAGTGTTTGGGAAGACTTGACAAGTATAATTCAGCATGGCAGAATGGGTATAGGCTAAAAACATATAGCTCAGGTTTGTTAAGCCTTCGCAGTTGGAAACAATGAGGCCAAAATGTTACTGCAAGTACGATTTTTTTTTCCTTTATGTGGGACTGTACAATTTGCAGACTGATTTGACATATATGTTCAATTACAGCTCAGTTGTCTAATGCTACGAGCTACTACTGTTTGCTTAGCAGTATGACAGTAATTGCTGTCTAAAGCAATTTGTCTAAAGTAGAACAACAGTAATTACTGTGTAAAGCAAAGCCTTAATACACTTTTTTTTCTTCTCTTCCTTATCTAGCTGCCCAGTCTGGAGTGCTTGATAAAACTATTTCCCTGGTAATGAAGAACCAGTTGCCAACTAAAAAGGTATCTACAGCTTTTGTCTTAGGGGGAAGTTGTCTTGAATGTTACACCCACCCTCATGCAGGAATTTCTGCTAAGACAGTCAGTTAAACTGCATGAACTGAAGACAGAAAGGGCTTCATGACAGCAGTAGAGGTGCTAAACGGCTAAATACTGATGTCAAAGTAGTAATTTCATAGCACAATTCATATTTGTGGTATTGTCTTTAAAAGCATGATCTATTTCCTTCCTTCTGATTTGGAAGAAGTTGAAAAGCTGATTGGGCTGAGTTCATTGACAATGCAGGTGGACTTAATTGGAGTAAGAGTGTTGGCTAGTATAATCCCTACTCCAAGAAAACCCTCACAAACCCTATTATATCTGTTCAGCTTGTCTCACATGTTCAGAACATAAGATCATGTTCGAAGGAGTTAAGTGGAAGGTCTTGTACTCCAGAAGCTGTTAAGCCTGTGGCTGTCTTTTTTTTTTTTTTCTTTCTCTGAGAGAGCTCTCATTTTAGGCACAGCTCCTCAGTTAATATTCCTGGGGTACTGACCTGAGTATCAATCCATACTGCAGTGAACCCTTGGAAATTATTAAGACTATATTTAAGAACCTGTTTATATTCTGTCCGTTAAAGCCAGCACCAGCTCTTGTCCTTATCTACTGGTCATCTTTTCTGCTGGTTACAGTAATAGCCAGCAATTAATGACACAAAGCCCTTTAGGCAATTGTTTAGGTACATTCTAATGTAAGTAGTGTCATTATGTAAATATACAATCTGCAACTGAAAGAAAATAGCTTGGTTATGATGATTATCAACTCGTAATTGTCAGCCTTTTAAGCCTGCTAGAATTAACACTAAGTGCAGAAACCTCCTAGAACCTTACTTTGGTATATTAACGTTAATCATTAACTTGCAATACTTAAGCATCTAGCCTTTACTCAGATGAACATAAATGGTGTATTCTTCCTTCCAGTATGATGGATATACTTCCTGCCCGCTAGTAACAGGCTATAACAAGGTCATTCTAGCAGAGTTTGACTACGATGCTCAGCCTTTGGAGACCTTTCCCATTGACCAGAGTAAGGAGCGGATAACCATGTACCATATGAAAGCTGATATGATGCCCTTTCTCTATTGGAATGCACTACTCAAGTAAGTATTTTAAGTCTGAGGAGGCATAGATGGTGTGATCATGCAGAAGAAAGCCAGGTACAGGTACCAGTACCTGTTCTGGATAACAAGCTCTTTTAAGAACAGTAATTGTACAGTGAACTTCAACTTCGAGCATTCTTTGCTAGTAACAGGGGGCTTGTGCAAGAACAATACTGAATTTTACAAAAGGACAACCGTTGGCCCAGTTGAAACAACCTAGCTAAAGCAAAACTGATTCTCCAAGACAAACCCCTAGCATTCCTCTCTTAGTAAATGGAAGTATCATAAGGGAGTAAAACATCTCTCTCCCCCCACCCCCCTTACACATGCAGATATGACTTTGATGTGACGAAACAACTTTCTCCCTTTCTAGGGGATACTGGGGAGGACCAGCTCCTATCAGGAAGCTAATGCATCTGGGCTTGAAGTAAAGTAACAGATAACAGCCAAAACTCTTGGAACAAAAGGAGTGGCCATACTGCACAAGTACTCATACTCCCTCTTGGACAACCACTTAATAGACTTTTTTAAAGGAAGCAGCTTTTATACCAAATTCACTTTCTATCTACTAGGGGTTAAGCCTTACTATACACTCAGTGCTCTTCTATGTAAACCAAAGCCTTAAGCTGATTCTGTATGTACACTGGAAGTTGAAGTTAAGTTTGAGGTTGCCTTAAACTACAGAATGCTACTGACATTTCTACAGCAATCATTGACTATAAATTTATATAATGGAACAGTTTTTCAGTGACTCTGCACACTAGTAAAACCAACTCGCTCTCTCATTTTTGAGGAGCCTCAGTCCAAATTTCTTCAGCAAAAAACATTGCAGATGGACTATAGAAATTAGTGCAGATTAATGAAAGGAAAATAAATCTTACTTTTCCAGATTTGTTTAGATACATCACTATAACCCCAACCTTTTTCCTCAGATCAGACTCAGCATAGTTGCACTATTCAGCTTCTCTCTTACCCTATCAATTACAGGAACTTGTTTCTCCAACTAATGTAAGCAGATGTGTTCATAAAAATCTCCTACACGCTAATTCCCCATATAAAGCTTTGTGTTTTACATATACCTGTGTCACGTAAATATGTATTATGTACATTAGCAGTGTTGTGCCAACTAGCATCACCTTTGTTATGTCTTACTACTATAGTTTATGAACATAAATAGAATTCTCAATAGACAGGAGATTGTGAAAAGACAAATCAGCTGAGGACATGTACTAGGTTGAAGCACAAATTAAGACAACAGCTGAGGGGGAAATACTTTTTTTTATTATGACCATGTCTAGCTCGGTTTCAGGGGAAATTGAACAAAAAGTCAAATCCAATAACTGAGTCTTCACAGAAGCTGGAACTTTAGTAGCAGTCAGGTAGACAGCTCAGAGCAAACAGGAATCATCTTCAATCCCAAGCAACTTATTTCTAAACAGGAATACAGACATGAATGTATTTGAAGTTATAGCTTCACGGTTTTAAACATAGCCATTTAAAGGGTTGCTTTTGAGTTCCAATTACAAGCATGAACACGTACCTGCATGTTAAGTAATTCTTCAATCTTATTTTGGATCTGTCCATACACCTCATTGAACAGCTCCTCCCTTGATTTTGTTCCATTCAAGTGCACTTAATGTAAAATAAGAGAGCTATAATAGAATCATGCTTCTGTAAGCCTGACAGATCCTGATTTAATAGGGCATGCACCTGACTTCCTAGAAAAATACACTCCATGCAACAGTTTCAACTCTTCTCTTACACTTAACTAGCATGTATATCCTAAACTTGACAAACATTTCCCTCAAACAATCTTACAAAAGTACTTTTGTTATTGAAGGCTTACCCACGTCAACACCAAGATCTTCCATTATCTTCCTGTGCTTCACGTACATAGGCCAAACGTGGCCATCAAACAATCCAGGTGGATCTGGTACAGTATAATTCCTCGAACTGTAAATTAAGACATTATTATTCAAGAGTAGTCTAGTTACTGTTTAGGCAAATGACATATCATGTACTCATTTTTTCTACACCCTAGCCTGAATCTGTTGCATTCAGTGTAGTTTATGAGCTTAAAAGTTAGTCTTTAGCATCTCTTTAGCATCAGCTGAAAACAGATACAGCTGCAGAGATACTGAAAAAAAAAAGTTGGAGTTTGATGGGCTGGTCCAAAGCATGCAAGACATAGAAAGGATTCCAATAAAAGACTGATCTTACACTGAGCACTGGTCTCATGTACACAATAGTTTGTTAGAAACCTTTTGGGCTTGTCCAGTGGAAGAAGCTACAGTTTTTCAATACAGTAGCTGCATTAGTGTTAATCCTTTCATATCTAAAAAAAACTTTAAGGAGAAAGAAAGTCTTGAGCTGCATAAGACAGGTAGGAAAGGCAGCAAAGGAACTTACACAGATAAACTTACCTTCTTCTCCTTTTACACTCTTCATATGGAATGGAAAGAAAGTACCGATGGTGGAAAATATCAATCAGTGGCCTGAAAGAGACACATCTGGTTGCAGCTAATCTGTTTCATTACTAGCAAGAAACAGAAAGGTAACACTACATCCATGTTCTCTGGAGCTGTCTTCAGGCTAGTGACACCATTAGTCAATATCAGCTGCTAACTCTTGGTTTAGAACAACACTTTATTGTGTTAAGTCACATAATTAATATAAAAATCAAGATATATGAAATCATAACTTGATTACCTGTAGGTGTAAAGTAGGAAGCCTTCAACAATAAGAATGTGGATTGTTTTATCTCCTCCCTCCCTGTCTGGTGAGATTTGGGCATCCAGCGTGTTGTTGATCCCATGAGAACGTTCGAACTTGACTGGGTTTCTTACCCAAGCATTGATGGTATTCATCATAGCCTCCATATCTAATGCGCTAATCACTAAGACAAAACACACAACTGCCATTAACAAGCAATTAAACATCATCTAGCAACAAAGTCAGTACACAGAAAAATGCACGTAAAGGATTAAAGTACTTAAAGTTTTTGAGTTACACTTTGTTTGATAACACCATAACAAAGCCTTACCATCATACTGTTTAAACCCATCTTCAACTTCTATTTCATCTTGAGGCTGAAACAGCGATAAGAAAACACCTGCTTGGTCAGCACAGCTACCAGGGAGCTAGATCCCCATTTCAAAGCAAGAAAAACCAAAAACAGAAGAACTGAAGCGTGAAGCTAAAAACCAGAAATCTTAACCCTCCACCAGGCTTCCCTGCACGCAGATAACAAGCAGGAGTCCCAGATAACCGCTCTGCAGCCTCCCACCGACACGGCCGCTCGCCTGCGCCTCCCCCGCCGCCTCCCGCGCCCCGCCTCACCTTGAAGAAGTCGTCCTGGTGCACCACGCTGCAGTTGGGCAGGGCCTGCATCAGCTTGCGGGTGAGCGTGGTCTTGCCGCCGTTGGTGACCCTGAGGGAGCGCGATGGGGGCAGCTCAGCCCCGGGCCGCCCCCGCCCCAACCCGCCCCGGCCCGGCCGCCACACGGCGCCGCCCGCCCCAGCGCCGCTCACCCGCCGATGCCGATGACGATGCTCATGGCGCGGCCGGGAGCCGCCCGTCCCGGCTTCCGAAGCCTGAAGGGGTCGGGGCTGGGGAAGCCGGCGCGGCCGGGAGCGGCCACCTCGGTGCCCGAGCTGGGGCCCGGGGGAGGAGGAGGAGGAGGAGAGAGGAGGAGGAGAGCGCCGGGCGCCCGCCGTCAGCTGCGGGGCCGCGCCATGGCGGCAGCGGGGAGCAGCAGGGCCGGTGCGCGCCGCGCCGCAGCGCTCCGCAAAGGACCGCGAGCCCCCGCTGCACGCGGCTCCCCTCCTCCGCCCGCGCGCCCATTGGGCGGCCTCCGCCCCGCCGCGGCCAATGGGGAGCGGCGCGGCGCGGGGAGGCTCGCGCCCATTGGGCGAGGAGCGCTCGACTCGCGCCCGATAGGGCCGCGGCTCGGCCGCTCGGCGGCGTTCATTGGAGGGGAGGTGGCCGCGCCTGGGGCTGCACCAACGCGCCCTAACAGCGGGGGGGGGAGGAAACCCGGGGGGTGCGGCCCAGGGGCCCCCCTCAGGCGCTGCGGTGGTTCGGCCCGCGGGACGCCCTGCCCCTGGCTGTGCCGAGGGGCCCGCAGGGAGCTGAGGCGGGGCCGCCCCGCGGGGCCTGCGCCGGGCCTTCGGCGGCCCGGGGCCCTGCCAAGGGCGGGGCGCTGCTGGGCCGGGTCTGCCGGGTCGGTCATCGGGCCTGGCATCGAGCGAGCTGCCTTGGAGGCACCGCAAGTTTCACGCCATGCTCAAAGCTAGTTAAAGCAAGTTTTATCCACAAGTTCCACTTCCCATTTTATTATTTATTTTATTTTATTTTATTTTATTTTATTTTATTTTATTTTATTTTATTTATTTTACTTCATTTTATTTTACTTTCATTTTATTTTACTTCATTTTATTTTACTTCATTTTATTTTACTTCATTTTATTTTACTTCATTTTATTTTACTTCATTTTATTTTATTTTATTATCCCAGACCATGCCAGTCAGCTCTGTAACCACACAGACATTTCAGGATTTTAGCACAATATAAGTAAAACGAGCAAAGTCAGGATAATGTCAGGATAATGCACAAATTCCAGGCGCAGAACAAGGAGATCTTGAAGGGCAGCCAGCCTGAAGCACTGCTCTCCTGTCAACCCAGTGCTGACAGAGCCGGAGGGATGCAAAGGACAATTGGGCTCAGAAGGTGCCAGGATTGAGCAGCTCGGTGTGGGCAGGGCAAGGGAGAGAGGGAGTGAGGAGAATCTTATCGAACAGAGATAGAGCGCTGACGGCATTAAACCAGGATGCTAGTTCGTGTCCTTGCCAACCACGGTGCATTGTGCAAATTAACTACAGCAAGAAGCCCTGGGCCCCTCACCAAGGTCAGTCTCCTATTAGGAGCGTGAGCCTATCTTGAGGAAGTGGCAGAAACTGGTCCTGCAGATGGACAAGGGCCAAGGAGCAACTGAGTCTGCGCAGAGACAAGAGGTCAACTAGCAGTGACGAGGAAGAGTCATCAATCTTCATCCCCACGACCCCCACCACATACACTGTGCAAGCGCAGAGGGAGGAGTTTATGGAAATGACTCCTTGGAACTAGTTTTAATATGAAGCAGGGATAGGTTGTCAATATGTATAGGCACATTGTGAAACTTCACGCATATGTAACTCTTTGCTGCATGTAATCATGGCAAACTGCTGCATCAGGTGCACACGACTTTGGTGGGACTACCCCCGTGCTGCCCAGCGCTGAATAAACAGCCCTACTGTACAAGGGGATTGATTGTGGAGTCCGCTTCCCGCGAGTCACAGGGGAAACCAGCCTGCAGCTGCGGTGAGGTATCAGCTGCTGACTTTGCACTCGTTGCCTTTCACCAGCAGCTTGAGTCAAGGATTCGCCATGACCAGACATTGAGTCTGTAGGGCAATTGTGGAGAATAGATGCATTTAGTCTGTTATTAAGATTATGGTGCTCGTCAATGGAAAGGGGAGATCCTTTTATTTTCATTCAGGAGAACGTTCTACACTTCATATAGAATTAGTATATCGTATTAGTAATATAGTATAAGTAAAACACAGAAATATTTTCAATACTTTTTAATGCATAGCAATGGTGGGACTGTTACATTCAGTGAAATATATCAAAATATATCTTAACGTTCATAAAGCTCTGGGGCACTTTAACTCCACAGACTGCAGCATGGCTGTGTATCCTGCCCATCACATTCAACATCTGTGTCTGTGTGTGCTAGCCATTTCCCTGGCCCGTTGTCCCTCTCTTCTTGATGCTGTTGCTGCTATGGGGAAAAACAGAGAAAAAGAACAACAGGATATTGTCTGGTTCTGGTCTGTGTGCCAACAGTTACAAAACGTTGTTTTCTTCTCAGTTTTGGGATTCTTGTTGGCGTTTATTAGTCTTGGGCGAGCCTGAGCACATTAAGATGTTTTTTAAATTCTTCCAGTTACTGTGGAAACCTTGAGTCTCCAGGAGGAAGGCGGTGTCCCGTGCCCTTGTGCGGACATTCGTGTTCTGGAGGATGACACCCTGACTCATGCAGAGGAAAAGAAGAGCCCTGTTGCAGAGCACAACAGGAAGACATTTAGCACTACTCTTTGCCAGGATGACACCTGCAGGGCTGCTGCAGGAGTGGAAGTGAGCCACGGACTGGATGAGTAGCGCTGAGAAAACTGCATTGCTGTACAAATCTCTTGCCAAACCAGAGCGCCATTTTGGCTTCCATTCTCCTTTTCTGACACCTGTAGGTAAGCATAAAGTGCACTGCCAGATAGACTTCTGCAGCAAGTTACCAAGCAAAGGAATCATCCCGGGGTGCAGATTCACACCAAAGTGGTCTAGCTTAGCTGTCAGGATTATAATCAAGGAATATCAACTGCAAATGTGTTGGGGTTGCCAAGGCAGGAGCTGGCTGCTTGCCAGTGCTTGAATGAGGAGGTGGCACCCAGCAGGACGCCTGAAGCCACGGGTGACATGCAGGTATGTGCTGCTGAGGCTGAAGGCTGCAGGGTACAGCAGGAGGAGAGCAGGCGTACGGCCACTATTTTGGGATGGGGATGTTCCCATGTCTAATTTGACTCTGGTAAACTCATTTCACCCCCAGTAAGTCTGCTTTCAAAATAGGTTATTAGGGTACAGTTACACACTTTGTGATTTTTAAGAAAATCTTAGCTTTGATAATCATCTTAACGTGCAATAAACCCAAATAGTCTGCAACTTCTGTGAAGTGTGGGCAAAAGCTTTGGTTTCTGCATGTTCTCGCGGTTGTGGGGACCACTGTCCCTTCTTTGCTGCACCCATACAAGGCATTAGGGGTGATAAAGGCCTTTGTGAGAGGATGAAGTAGGGTGAAAAATGATAATTTTGGCAGATAGTGAGTGTATTAAAACCACACAGGATAAAATGGAAGTTTTCATTTCTGCAATAATGTATCATATCACCTAAAGCTAGGACGCAGATGTCACAAACACTTTGAAAGATAAATGGCAGAAATTTAAAAAATCTGCTTGAAGTGTGAGAAGTGATAAAGTGAAATAAAGCTACAACGGTGAAAGAAATTGATGTGCTAATTATGTAATTGTGGGGCTACATAAGAAATGCCTGTGATAGGGGGAGTTTATGGGAATGTCTGGGCTCTGTCTGAGGACCTGGTTCTATTGCCAGTATAAAAAGCTCTTTTTTTCTGGTTTAATGGCTTTTTGGAGTTAAAGAAGTTCAAAGTAAAAAGAGCTCTATGTGTCTGTGAAGAGCAGCTATGTAAGACATAAGAATACTTTGTTTTGCCAATATTTGTGAAGCTTAAGCATTCAGTCCCTTGTGCTTCTAAACTGTTCTTTCCGGAAATACTAAATAGTTGAGAAGCTTTGGCCAGCTCTAGTTACAACAGGGTCATTGGCTGTTAAACAAGACTTAGTTTAGTTCTTGTATTGCTTTAATTACACTTCTTTACAGAAACTAGAATATATTCTACTTTCCGTCTGGGAATAAATATGCATGCTTCTTCATGCTGTTTTCTGATGTGAACATACTGATTTTTAAATTGATACTGCTGCTCTATGTAAGTATGTCTAAAACAGTTCTCTTACAGACTTGTTTCAGTCTTGTTGAGATGTCTGGTGCTCAATAACTGTTACCAAAATTTTAGTATATTACTAACTATTACCAATATTTTAGTATAAATTAAACAATTTATTTCTAGGTATACTCATCAGATGCTTTCTATGATCTTTTTCTGTGAATCTGCTCAAGCAATTCTTTCCTAAATTCACTTTAGGAACCACATCTTGGTCCTTGTACTGCTTTAACTCCCAGAGAAATAATTAAGTAACAAGATTGTATAACCTACTGAAAACATAATGACTGAATTCCTGGTTTGTTTTTACTGGTGCAATGGTGAACAACAACAGCTGGTAGGTAGATGCACAACTTCTATCTTTTATCACATTTGTAATTTTATCTCTTGGTTATAATATAAAACACTTTCACTATCATGTTGTTTTGATTAAATTAGACTAGATAATGGAAAAGCTAAGAATGGACGTGTTATGCTGTGTTTAAGCTCTATATGTTTTTTCCCAAAACTTTGCCTGTATGATTGTTTGCAGTTCTCAGACCCTATATGTAGGGGGACTGACTTTTTCAAAATTCAGGAAAGCTTTTGCTAAAAATCAAGTAGCAGTAAGAAAGGTGAGTTTGACCCTCTCATAGTGTGACCAGTGTGAAGCTTCAGCCTGGTTGCCCCAAGGAGTCACTGGGGGGCAGAACTGACTGTATTTTTAATTTGTTTGCCACTCCTTGTTTCTGTCTGAAAGCTGCCTCATATTTTCTGAGTAGAAACACATCTTTCTTCTTATAGAAGAGGTGTCAGGAGACTGGACTGGAACATGATAGGGGAGCCAATGAACTTTGCCCACAATGCTCATTTTGGGACAAGAGAGATGAGTAGTGACTCTTCATCAGTAAGTGTGCACTCTTGAATAAGCAGGAATCTCAGCTCAGTAGCCTGTAGAGCCACTAAATACTGAAATACTAGATAATATCATAAAATAAAAAAACATCTGTCTTCATGTTCACCCTACCTCCCCCCATCCCGAATTGCTTCAGAACAGAATTGCCCCTTGGTCTGTAAGCATAAAATACTGTAGAAGATATGTTCTACAAAACAGTCCATCCAGTCCCCAGTGTCTTTACATGTGAAGAGAACCTTTGGGATAATGATTCTGTGGGTGGAAGCACTTGATACTAGGTCCAGATTTCACATCACCCAAAATCAAGGTTGTCCCAAGGTAAGAGATGTAAGAATAGTTGGATTTTGGACAGCAATATCCATTTTGAACACTGACTTAACACAGAACTTCCAGGTTGTTTTTTTGTTTTTTTTTTTTTTTTTTTTTTTTTTAGTTGCTATTTCTCCTCATTGCTGTTGGAACCTAGCACTGTCTGCTTCTTCAAATTTATGCTTTTGGAAATTGCTCTGACAACCAGACTTTGTAAGATGAATGTTCTAATTCTAACTCACTCTACCCCTTCTTTGTCTAGACTGCATCAATTCAGGACCACATGAAGTCTAAAGGTGGTTATACAAATGGCACTTCTGCAACTGCTGAGCTATAGGAAATTGAAAGAATTTTGACATTTGCCCTGTCTTAAGAAGATCTCCTGGGCTGTGCTTTCATCTTCTCTAAAGCCTCTTTATCATGAAGTAGAGAGAGTACTTGAATTATAATAGGTCAGTGTGAGCGTTTGCGTTCTTTGCACAATAGCATTCTGAAGGAGTTACTGGAAATTATCCTGAAAATGGTCTGTTGCGGTAGTGTTGTAGTAGCAACAGTAATTTGTCACTGGATGACTTCCTGGCTGTTCCAAAAACCTCAAAGTTGTCTTGTAGGATGGGATTGGAAGCTGACATGAATTGTCTGGGGTTTTGGTCTCTCTCTTCCCCTCAGGAAGCAAGACTGATTTTTTTTATTTTTATTTTTTTTTTAATTGGAAGGTAACATATTTGCACTTTGTATGTGGGCTAAAATGAATTTCTAAGTAGGATCGTGTAGCCTATAACACGTTACCTAATTTTTGGATGGCTTACAATTAAGGTGTTAATTTACTGAGCTATACTTCAGTATTTTTCTCTGTGACTTTCAATAGCGAACCAACTCTAATATGATGTAACTAGCTGAGTCTGCAAAACCCAGTGAAACTTCTGCCTTGCTGTGATAACACTTTTGTAGCTAAAAAGGCAGGTTTTACAGACCTGCCCACTCCCAAATGAGGCTTAGAAAAACAAGCATTTCTCTGTTACTAGTCTGCCTCTCCTTTTTATGTGCACTAGTATAACTGACAGGTATTAATACAGCAAAACTAATCATATTAGGTATCAGTTAATTTGAAGTGCTACAACATGCTCAAAACTTCATGCTAATTTTGCATGAATTCTAGGGAACTTCAAGCTAACTACATTTAAGATCTCTCTGCATTACCTATCTGTAATGATAACTGCACAGAACTGGAAGGGGTATCTCTTGCTTCTGTCTCCTTAATTTCAAAACCATTTTCTTAGATGAACTGAAGTCTTTCTTATATATGATTTTAAATTATATGGGTTAAATTAACTATGATAGAGCTGGGAGAATATTAAATGGAAACTGTCTCTTAGAGTTTCAGCACTTCAAAAATATGAATATTTAGCCATACCCAAACTACAGTTTCTTTCTTATACCATTAGTAAGAACTGACAAAACTGCTGAAATAGAGATTTTCTTTTTATCACATCACTGACAACTGTTCTCTGACTTAAAATTATGAATGACTGCCAGTGCAGAAACTTTAAGTTTGCTGTCGTGGGATTAACTAACTACACTTGTTTAAATTACTGCCAAATCAGCACCAGTTACAGCCCAAGTCAGTGCAACTCTCCCTTTCTTGCTCTAGGCATAAGATCATCCTTATTTTTAATGAAAAAAAAAAAAAAAAAGGAACAAAAAGTTTTGCCAGATAGATTTTTGGAAGACAGATTTTTTTTTTAACTTCTATGATTATGTTTGTGGCTTCTGATACTTTTCAAATTGGCTTTGCTTAAGTCTTAGTCTGCCTATTCTGAGTATATTAGGTAACTTAAAACATGAAAAGTAGGTTTCTATATTATAAAAAGAAACATTTTACCCATGCTTCCTTCCCATATTTCATCTTTAAGGGCCAAAGAGGAAGAGAATGCTACTTTCTGTAATAGTCAACAGCTGATCATCGCATTCAGCAACCACATAAAAGAGTAAAAGAAAAATCTAATGTCCCACATCTTTCATAGGACAGCAGTGATAAAGAAAATGGGTTATATTTTTCTTAACACTACAAGAAAAGCTAGAGAGTTAGTATTTCCTGAAGACTCATTCAGTATATTTAAGAATAGAGTGCTGCATGCATGACTACAAATAAGTTGGGGATCAGGATAGTTATTCTTCCTATAAATAAATCAACAGAGATAATTCTGTTTTTCAGCTTATTTGTAGAAAAATCCTACTTCTTATTCTGTAAATCAAACAGCATTACCTAGTGTAAATATACAGTATACAGAATATACAGTATTATCTAGGACTACATTAAAATTAACCAAGTAGTCATGTTATTAAAAAAAAAAAAAAGTTTTGCTATTGCATTATGTGCCCTGTTCTTTTTTTATATAATGTAAACAAGCATAAAAGCGTGTCTCAGGTATTTTCTTTGTATAATTAGAACCCTTATTTAGCTCTGGTCTGTCATATAACCTAGATAGGTTTATACTGAGTTACAATAAATCTGTTGAATGAGGTACTTGAACTCTTTTCATGTTGTCCAAATCTTGGTATTTTTCTCTGCACTGAAGATACGTTGGTCAGGTGGATGGATCAGCATGGTTTGAAACTTTATTGTGCAAAATAACGTTTCTCCACTAGAGAGCACAATTTTCTATCAAGTCTCTGACAACTGCTCTATACAGGTTGTTACTTCACTGTGGGGTGATTTTTTGTTGTCGGGGCTTCTTGTTTATTTTATTTCGGTCGAGTTGAAAACAGCAAATGACACCAAAGGGTCAAACCAGACCACTTTCCCCAGGGAAGTGGTCACTGCACCGAGCCTGTCTGAATTTAAGAAGAGATTGGACTGTGCACTAAACCTTTTAATCCATCTTTGTAAGCTGTGACAACCTTACACCAACACTGTGATGTGGCAATGCAATATTAACTGCTGTGACTTGATGGAATTTTTATGGTATCTTTTTGTAGTCAAAAATAAAGTAGCTTACAAGTGTTATAGGATTAAGTCTTTTATATGTAGTCTGCCAGATTCTCATCACTGTATCTGTGTTTTTTTTTTTTGTTTTTGTTTGTTTTTGTTTTGTTTTGTTTTTTAAAGATAAAGGGGTGGCAGGGAGTAGCTGTTATTTTAAACACTCTCTGTCTTACCTTGTGATGCCCCTGGTAGGCTTTACTGACTATTTAATACTTTTGCTTAAACCTGTAGTCAGTATTGAGAAGATATCTTGATTGTTCACAACCTAATATGTCCTTTTATCTCCTGGAATAGCTTTGTGAAGAATACGTAGTGTCATGCTATGTTCCAAGTTACCCTGTAATATGGCAACTTGGGACTCAAACATGTAGGGCTAGCTCCTTGTATGGTCCCACCATAGTGGACTACTACTTGCTTCTGTAATTTCCACTCTGTATGGACAATTATTGTTTGAGACTAATAAATTCTCTTAACCTTATTGTACCAGCAAAAGTAAGCATAATTTAATAGTGCTAAATTCCAGGGAGGAATAGTTATGAAGTTTTATTACAAGTTAACTAAACGTGGTAATGTTAGAGGAAAAAAAATAATCAAAGCTGTTGTTTAGGGATGATTGCTTGGCTGTTCTTGATTGTCTTTGGATGTAATTTGCTATCATCACTGTGAGAAACGATGAGTGACCCTTGACCTCTAAGCCACCAACCTGGACCCAACACCAGAGCCCCTGCCTCAGACCAGACCCTGGAGACCCCACTCTGCGCCTGTCTCTGGAGCCCCAGATCCAACCCTAAAGCCCCAGTCCTCATTCTGACCCTGAGCGCCAGACCTGGACCCCTGCCACCGCCCAGGACCCTGGACCCAAGAGTTTGCCCTGACCACAAGCCCCAACTCTGAGCCCCTGACCCTAGAACTGACCCCAGACTCTGGAGTCCCCACTCCAGAGCTAGCTATGAGCCCTGGACCATGGAGCTGACACATATCTAACCCCAAGCCCCATCCCTGAGTGCCAACCCCAGGCCCTACTCCAGACCTGACCCTGAGCCCTGAACCCAAATCCAACCCAAAGACCTGGACTGAGAGCTGACCCCTGTATTTGGCCTTGAGCCCATGGCCCAGACCCAGACTTGAGATCCAGACCCACACCTGGACCAGATACTGAGCCCTGGACCTGGACCCGAGCCCCAGCACTGAGTCCATGACTGGAACTGACCCTGAGCCCCAAGCCCCAGCCTGAAGTCCTGATGCTGAGCTCCCCATCCCTGGAGCTGACCCTGACCTGGGAGTTGACCCTGCCCTTAAACCCAGAGCTATCCCTGGATCTGGAGCTAACCCCAAGTCTGAAACCTGAGCCCCAACCCCATGCCCACAACCCCGGACCCTTGACCATGGAAACATGATCTCGGAACCTCCAACACAGTCAAAGCCTGACCCTGGAGCTGAGCCCTGGAACTGGACCTGGCCCAACACTGAGCCCCAACCTGGAGCTAAATCTGAGCCTTGGACCCAAGTCCTGGCCCCCGTAGCTAACCCCAAGCCCCAACTCCATAGTTGACCTGGAGCCCCACCTGGGATCTGTCCTTGAGCCCTGGACCCAGACCTGGCCCAAGGACCTGGACCCGGAACTGACCCTAAGCACCAACCCTATGCTGCAGTCCCAAGCCCGAGTCCTGGACACTCAACCTTGGACCCTCAACTCCGAAGCTGAGCACAAGCCCCGGACCTGGAGCTGAGCCTGAGCCTCAGACCAAGCTGGAGCTGACCCCGACCACCGAAATGGCCTTCAGACCTGGACCCAGAGCTAATCCTGAGTCTCAAGCCTGAGCCCAATCCTGGACCCTTGAGCCCAGAGCCCCAGCACCCAGAATGGACCCCAGACCGAGCTAACCCCAATTCCCCACACTGAGCCCAAACCCTGACCCTGAGCCCCATCCACTCAACCTGGGACGACTGACCCTGGACCCCTGACCCCGTAGCCACCACCCTGGAGCTGACCCCAAGACCCAAACCAGAAGCTGACCCTGAGCCTCAGAACAGACACTGGACCCGGTGCCCCAAAGCCAGACCCCAACCCCGAGCCCTTGACCACAAGCTGCTGACCCCATAGCTGACTGTGACCCCGGAGATAACCCTGACCCGTGACCCCCAGAACAGAACCCGGAGCCAGAGCTAACCCTGAGCCCCAGCCCCAGCCCCTCGATCCCAGACACTCAACCCATGACCCTGGATGCTGAGCCCCAACCCCAAGACACAAGCTCCAGCCCCGAGCCTCAAACTCAAGCCCAAGCCCTGGACCTGACCCTGAGGCAGGGACCTGAGCCCCAGACTCTGAAGCTGACCCTGAATTCTGACCAAGGAGCTGACCCCAAGCCTCCAACCCTCGGAACAGAGCTCAGACCCAGAGCCCCGACTCTGAGCCCCAGCCTCGAGCCCCCGACCCCGGAGCTGACACTGGACCTGGAGCTGACCCCAGACCTGGAGCTAACCCTGAGCCCCACACCTGAGCCCCAACCCAACCCCGCACCCTCGACCCCAAACCCTTGATCCTGGAAACACAACCCCTGACCCCCACCCCTAGAACTGGGCTCAATCCCAAGCCCCAACCTTGAGTCCCAGCCCTGAGTCGCAACCCCGAGTCCCTGACCCCAGAGCTGACCCTGAACCTGGAGCTAGCCCCAAGCCCCAAACCTGAGCCCCAACCCTGCACCCTCAACTCCAAACTTGGATACATGACCCCAGAGCCTCCAACCGGGACCTGACTCCAGAGCCCCCGACCCCGACCCCCAGAACTAGGCTCGACCCTGAGGCCCAACCTATGAACTCCAAGCCCCAACCCCGGACCCTCGACCATGTAGCCCCTACCCTGAATGTGGTGCCGTACATGTTTTTTATGGTCCTAATTAGGGTTCAGCTCAGTGTTCCGGTTAGGGTTACATTTAGGGTTGTTTGGAAAGAAAGAAGGCATAGCATCCTGTTGTGTGTGGGGGGGTTGCATAAAGGCTCCACAAGGGAGCCTGCTCCCCAGACCTGCTTCCTACACCTGTTCTGCAGATCTGGTCCCCAGACCTGGTCCCCAGACCTGGTCCCCAGACATAGTCTTCAGAGCTGGGCCCAAGTCTGGTCCCTTGATCTCGTCCCCAGTTCTGATCCCCAGATCTAGTCCCCACACCTGGTCCCCAGAACTTGTCCCCAGACCTGCTCCCCACAGTTGATCCCCAGGGCCGATCCCTAGATCGGGTTCCCACATCTGGTCCCCAGACCTGGTCCGCAAACCTGGTTCCCAGATCTGGTCCCCACACCTCATCCCCAAGTCTAGTCCTCGCACCTGGTCCCAAACACAGTCCCCAGAGCTGGTCCCAAGACCTGGTCTGCAGATCTGGTCCCAAGACCTTGTCCCCACACCTGGTCCCTGAACTGGGTCCCCAGGGCTGCTCCCCAGACCTGGTCCCCTGATGTGGTCCCCAGCTCTAGTCCCCACACAGAGTCATCTAGGTTGGAAGAGACCTCAAGATCATCGAGTCCAACCTCTGACCTAACACTAACCAGTCCTCCACTAAACCATATCCCTAAGCTCTACGTGTAAACTTCTTTTAAAGACCTCCAGGGATGGTGACTCCACCACCTCCCTGGGCAGCCTGTTCCAATGCCTAACAACCTTTTCAATTAAGTTCTTCCTAACATCCAACCTAAACCTCCCTTGGTGCAACTTTAGCCCATTCCCCCTCCTCCTGTCACCAGGCATGTGGGAGAACAGGCCAACCCCCACCTCGCTACAGCCTCCTTTAAGGTACCTGTAGAGTATGATAAGGTTGCCTGAGCCTCCTCTTCTCCAGACTGAACAATCCCAGCTCCCTCAACTGCTCTTCATAATACTTGTAACACCTTGTCCCCAGATCTGGTCCCCAAACCTGCTCTCTAGATCTCGTCCAGAGATATTTTCCCCAGACTTGGTCCCCCAGATCTGATCCAAAGAACTGGTCTGCAGACCTCGTCCCCAGATCCAGTTACCAGAACTGGTCCCAAGACCTGGTACCCAGAGCTGGTCCCCAGATCTGGTCTGCAGATCTGCTCTCCCAGACCTGATCCCGAGACCTGGTCCCCACACCTGGTCTCCAGCTCTTCTCCCAGCATCTGGTTCTCAGGGCTGGTCCCCAGAGATAGTCCCCAGATTTTTTTTGCCAGGAACATGATTTGACAGAGCAGTCAACTGTTTCTTTAGCTTTGAGGATGGTGAAATGGTCTCTGGCTTGAAGAGAACCAGTTCTCAGCCTGTCTCTACAAATAGTTACTTAGGGCTAAAATCTGAGTGGCTGCTAGCTCATTATGGCTCTGGCTGTAGAGTCTTTAGACCTTGAAGCCTTCTAGATTTCAAGTGCTTGGAATTCACATAATAGAGGGATATTTAGGAGGGGTTGCCAGCTAACTTGTGTTTGGGAAATTGTGGGGTACGGTTCCTTTTTTTGGTTACATTTTACTCCCTAGATATATCCAGCCATTTGTGTAACTGTCCAGAGGACTCACAAAGTGCTTCAGTACACATGGCAAGGGGCTTGACCGTGTAAGTGCAGTATTACAAAGAGATTGAGCAGGGTCACCTTTTTCATCTATAAAAGATAAGTCTGTGATTACCTCTGCCAGGGCTGCTGCACGGCCTTTTGGCATTTGTGGATCTGAGGGTGTTTTTTTTCTTTCTGTCTCTGGTCTCTGTGTTTGAGTCCTCTGTAGGGAGCTGTATTGTTTGCGTGTCCATCACACACGACCACTTTGTTTCTTGTAGCCTAGGTCATAGGCATGGACTAAGCTGGAAAGCCAAATGAGGGCGAGTGGATGGCAGTGTCGCCCCTGAGTTGGTGGGTAGATTCTGTTAGTCTGTTTTG